ATCCCATGTTCTTACATCTAATGTTTTCACTCATATTATATAATATAGTGATCTTTACTTTCTTTGATTTAGTGAGTGAATCAATCACAATTTTTTTTTTTTCTTTCATATCTGCTTTCCATTCCATGTGAAAACAATCCCAGATTTTTTTTCTTCAGAGATTCACCTGCCAAAAGATAAAAGATTCTTCCCCAAATCTTGTTTTGCAGGGAATGAGAAAGAGAGGCAAGGGTTGGTGGGTTCGACAATGGTGGGGAAGGGGTTTGCGGCTGTGGCACCTCTCTTATTCTCTTCTTCTTCTTCTTTTTCGATGCTTCTCTCTCTCTCAATCCCCTATCTGAACTGAAGAAAGGTTTTTTTTTTCCTTTCACCAAAACGACGTCGTTTTGATGTAGGAAGATCTCAACCGTCCATCTCTTTAATGAGACAGGTGTCGCGTTCAAAACTTTCACTGTAGAGGATCACTCTACCATTGCACTCTAGAGGATCCTAACGCCTTTGAATGAGAAATGTGTCATCAGTATTTATGTTTGGAAACCTTTTATTATATATATATATATATATATATATGTTTTGGCTTTGTTAAAATGATTGGTGTGGAGTAATGTTCTAAATAATGTCTAATGTAAAAATAAAATAAAAGGCTTACAATAATTGCATGTTATTGTATTTCCACACAGATAAATTCTCTACTTGATAATTTTTGTAATCTACGCGAGTATGATTCATGTTACTCTCAAGTGTAATTTATTTTCTATTAATTACACTTAGGCCAATAGTCGAAATTTGAAATTTTTTGAGATAATTGCTCTAAATTTTATTATCTTTTTTTTCATAATAATAATTTGAAAGACCAATTATTTGTCTACTTATTCACGTGTCTTCTTATTTGTTGACCACTGTTATTGGTGACTTTTTTAGCAATGACGAATTTTTTATGACTTTCCAACAAGTCACCGGCGGTAGCATGTGATGATTGATAATAGTTTGTGGGTATAGAGAGAGAAAGTAAACATATAAAAAGTATTCACAATATGTTTGTTTCCTTTTTTTGAAAATATTTTTAAAAAAATTTTACTTTCTTATTTTTTGTTTTTTTTTTTGTTTTTACTAAATTTTTCTTAATATTTAAACAATTTTTTAAACACACCTAACATAAATACATTTAAAAAAGTATAATTTTCATGATTTTTTTTTATAAAAAAAATCACTAAATATCAAAAATATAAAAAAATATAAAAATTCAATCTATTTTTCGTATTGTTATGTATTTATTAATTTTTTAAAATATTTTTTCACATATATTTTACTTTTTAGATACATCTAAGCAATGTACATCTAAAAAAATTTTAAAAATGCTTAAAATTTTAAAAATATTCACTAAAAATTAAAAAAACGAAAAACAAAAAATTCAATTTTCAAAAAAATTGAAACCAAACACACTGATTAGGATTAAAATAGAAAATAATACTCTTTAAAATAAGGGGTTATTACATCCCAGTGATACCAGAAGAAAAAAAAATACAAATTCATGAAAATATTTACAATTTAATTTTTAATATTTATAAAGTATCTCATTAATTTGTAATTATTTTTTTTCCACATTCCACTAATGTGATATTAAATTCATGAAAAAAATTTACAAATTAATATGTATAAAGTATCTCATTAATTTGTAATTATTATTATTATTTTTTCATATTCCACTAATGTGATATTTTCCCTTAAAATAATGATGTGTACTTTTCCCCAATATATTTCATTAATTATATTTTTTAAATTAGAAAGATCAACCACTGAATGTAATACTATATACAATCGTAAGAGTAGACTTGTCATCAATTTTTTTTTTTTCACTGAAAATTTGTAACATTTTAGTTAAAATAGTCAAAAAGTTAAACGAAATTATTACATCACTTTTTTTTTATTTTTTTATACTCTTTATGTCTCAAAATATTAGTCCCATATTTCATTTTTCATTGTCCTAAAATATTAGTCAATTATCAAAAATTAAAAAATAAAATAATATGAATGTACTATTTTGCCGTTTCTTTTGAATTCATTAATAATATAAAAAGTGTAAAACATTTAATATTCCCAAAAAAATATACTATCAAAGGATAATTTTAAAAAATTAATATTTTTAAAATGCAATAACTACACTATCAAAAAAGTTATATTCCCCAAAAGAAACTATCATTTTAGAACAGAAAGAGCATATTTTTTCATAAAAAATAAAAAAATCAACTAAAATCTCTATTAAGGCCTTGTTTGGGAATATGCTAATTTAGTAACTTTTTGGTTATTTGGCTAAAATATGAACTAAAAAAAATTAGTATGTTTGGGATGACTTTTTGACTTTTTACGAAAATATGTGCAAAAAATAAAGAGAAAACAGAATCTTTGACTTTTTGGTATGGATTGTTGACTTTTTGACTTTTTTAATAACTTTTTGACTTTTTAATTAAATCGGCTAGTTCCCAAGCGAGGCCTAATTTTTTTTTTTACAGGTGTGACACGCACCTAGTCAATGGACGTATTTGGTGGTCTATCTATAATAAAAATAAAAATAAAAAAAAAAAATTATTTATAAGTCCTATTAGTGAGACTTATCCTACATATAGTTCTACTAAAAAACTTATGTTCCCATAAGTCATGTGTGAAGTTTGTTGACACATTTACTTTCAATATTAGTTGTTAATATAATAAATAATGATAAAATCATATAGGAAATTGAATATTATCATAAATTAAGTTTGCGAAACGTAACGTGACACTTACATAAACGTAACGTAACGTAACGTTACCATATCAGATGGGACATTACATAAACGTAACGTGACGTGACACCTACGTAAACGTAACGTGACGTGACACCTACATAAACTTACATGTCACGTTACGTTTCACAAACTTACTAGGCTTTGATTTTTTTAATTGAATGTGAAAATGTTACTTTCTATGGTAACATTCAATTTCCTATATGTGATTTTGGCATTATAGTGTATAATAGTATATTAATACCATTTATTTATAGGGTTTTTTTTTTAAGATCCCTCGTATTAAGATTTTATAGCATAAAGGACATCTAATATTTTCATAATGTCTAAGGTCCCTCAAGTTGATCCAGAGAAAATTGGTCCAGAGGAATTTTGAAAATTTCTTTGACCTTCAGGAGTGGCTGATGGAGGACAGAAAGTGCATACACCATCGAGCTGATTACCGAAAAAAAAGAAGAAGCAATAACATAAGTGGAATTTGCAGACTAAGCAATAAAATCTGAAATCTCTAAAATGAAATTCACATATTTGCACAAGCACCTTTGTAAACAAATGACTCAGGCACCAATTGCTGATGTTTATAAGAGTGTTTAGATCACATATCTTGTAAGACATACACAGAAATGCACATGCCAGTATGCTGCTCTCGTTTTTTATCGCGTGATGCAAATATTAATAACACAAGACATATTCAATCATCTCAGCAAGTTAAGAGTTACCTTTATAACAGACATCAAACCAGTCTTGAACTGTAAAACACCCCTTCTTCACTATTAGGATCCAAGAAACCAAGAAATATTAGAGCCATTTCAAAGTTCATGAACATCTCTGAGTTTAAGACTTTGAACATTCAAATTTCTCTGGAAAATTTAAAATTTCTCTAGACTCCCCAAACAGAAAAATTCCCAGACAAACATTTCCAAAGATTCTCTTACCAGAGAATTTCTCTGGACTCCACAATCCAGAGAAAATTCCCAGACAAATATTTCTAAAGAAATTCTCTCAACCCAAAAGAATTTCTCTGGACTCCACAAACCAGAGAAAATTTTAATCCTTTGCCAGAAAAAATTAAAATCTTAAACCAGAGAAAATTGAAATCAGAAAAAATTCCAGCTGATTCAAGATTAGGAACCAAATTTCTCTGACTTCGGAATGTGTTTTAACCAAATTTCTCTAACTTCAGAATTTATCAAATGTGTTTTCATAATGTGTTTTAACCAAATTTAGAGATGACTAACGAGGACAACCTAGTGAAACAACATATTAAAGTTGCTGAAGAAGCTGTCTCAGGTTTGATGTTGATCTCTAATTGAGATATATAGAAGGAAAAGAAACTTGTGCACTTCTGCCATTCTTTTTTTTTTGCTCTGGTTTTTTTTTTTTGTTTGGATCTCAATGAAAGGTAATAGACATATATATATATATATATATATATATATTAGGGAAGTGGGGTCTGAGTAGGTAGAGAGATAGGGAGTGTTGTATGGGTTCTATTGGGGAAAAGAAGGAATAGTTCTGGAAATTGATACCCAAAAGTTATCTGAAGAACAAGACGAAGGAGGGGGGCTGGGTTCTGTCGTTTACTAGTGTTGGGGATGGTGATAGAATATCTGGTATGTGAATCGAAATAGACGTTCTCTAAGTCAAATTTCTCTGATATATGTTTAGGGACCTTAGACATCAAAAAATAATATTGTGGATCTCTTCCATTACGAAAAGTGGGAGAGGGACCCTAGACTAATTTTCCCTAATTTATAACTCATAGGATCTTGTGGAATACATTCTTATCTAAATAGAACTTGAAACTCTATAAGAAATTACACAGGACTTAACATAACATAAGTATCCGAAATAGGACATATAAATATCTCCCATAAAAAAATGGACCATTTACATTGTTAGCTAGCATATAAAATTTGATAACAAATTTTTTTTTTTAAAGCTTATTTAACCTATTTATGTCAAATAGTAAATAAAAATTATATTAAACAGTTTAATATAAACATTTAAATTAAATTAATTTATAATCATCTCTTTTAAATTATAACAAACACCATCTCTATCTTAAATTTTACTTTTCAGATTTATTTTTAATATTTAAAAAAAATAACTTTTGATTAATACAAAATAAGAGAATTCACCTTAGTCAATCCACTATTAAAAAATATACAATTATTATTTTAAATCAATTAAATTTTATCAAATTTTGTGTTTGTTCACACACTCCAAGTTTTGAGTGTAATGAACAAACACTCCAAAATCTACAGTCTTTAATTCTTCTTCTCTTTCCATTTCTTTATTTTTATTTTATTCTGATTTTGTATTTAAACTCAACTCAAAACCCTAGCCAACTTTTCCATGCTCTGATCAATTCAACCCCATCTTCTATCAATTCAACGCATCTTCGATCGATCGATCTGTCTGAGACAATAAAAAGAGGGTTTTGTGGAGAAAGAGATCAAATTGGTGTATATGGATAGGATTGTAGGAGAAAAGTACAAGCTGGGTCGCAAGATCGGAAGCGGATCGTTCGGTGAAATCTTTCTGGGTCTCTCTTTCGTTTCAATCCTCTCTCTCTCTCTCTCTCTCTCTATTTATATTTTTAATCTAATTTTTGTGCTTACTCTATCTGTATTGTTTTTTTTTGCAGCCACTCACATCGATACTTGTGAGATCGTTGCTGTCAAAATTGTATGATTTCAAGCCAATTTGTTGTTCTAGTATATTATGAGCTACTGTTGGTTGATTGAATGTTAATTTTTTCAACTTGAGGCATTTATATTTTGTCTTGAAATTATTGAGTTTCAGAAAATTGAATTTTCATATTTTTATTAAGTTTGCTGAAAATGGTATATTTATATATACACATAATTGGAGAAGGGTAGGATTAGTTCACTTTGTCTTAATGCTCCGAAGTTAAAATTTTGCTAATCAATGGTGATTTTAACATAACCCATTTACCTTGATAGTATTGAACTTTACTCTGCAGAGGGGTTTAGTTTTTGTTAATTTAGTTAAAGTTTGTTCTGGATTAGTGCAATCATTTTCACACCTATATATATACACACTAGAGGTGTAGGCACACACTACATGTGTGAAATTTAGGGGTTGTTTGGGATGACTTAAATAAGTACATTTTTTGTCTTTTTATGAAAAGATGTGCAGAAAAGTAGAGAGATGATGTGATGGAAAAAAGATAAAAAGATAAAAAGTGTGTACTTATTTAGGATAGCCAAACTTGACCTTAAAATAAATATTGCAGTTATTTAAAGCAATTTAGATTTGAGAGAATTGAAGCAGTTTAGATGGCAGGGTATTTTGGGAAATCAAAAAAGCATGACAAAGCTACACCAACTCAGTTGTAGACTTTATATAATAGTGTAGAATTTACAGCATAGATATATAGATTTCCTTTTTCTTTTCTTTTTTCAGAACATGGAACCTTTTTGAATTGAATTACGAAGAAAAATTGGACGTTTGTGGTGATAAATTAGTGACTAAAGAAATAGGTTAATATTCTTTTAAGTAGCATTGGTATTCCGTGATTTTGGGTGTAAAGTCTTACTTGTGATTGTGTTGGTCTGTCTAGGTCATTCATCTTGGTCGACTTACTTTTAAACAACTTTACCTTTTGGTTTGTAGGAGAACAAGAAGACAAAACATCCACAGCTGCTTTATGAGGCCAAATTGTATAATATTCTTCAGGGAGGAAGTGAGTATATCATGGTTCTTGATTCATATTGGCAATACATTGATGCCCTTATATACACACTCACTAAATTGTGTTATCCTGTTCATTCACTCTTTGATTTTTTAATATTCTTTAGGTGGTATTGCCAACATAAGATGGTGTGGGGCAGATGGAGATGACAATGTCTTCGTCCTTGACCTGCTAGGACCAAGTCTTGAAGATCTGTTTGTTTACTGTGGGAGAAAATTTTCACTGAAAACAGTTTTAATGTTGGCTGACCAGATGGTAATGAAAATTTCATTTTGTGGTTATTATTGTCTGCTTTAGTATATTACATTAATTGGAAAGGGACTCTTTAGCATCCAAAATCATTTTATTTGACATGACGTAAAGCGACTCTTTGGCATCCAAAATCATTTTATTTGTCATGACGTACTGTAAATATTCATTCACTTCACACAGTTTTTAGTCTTTATTGTCTTTCATGTTGCAAAGAGTATTATCTATATAGACACAAGTGGTCAGTGATATGTAGATTGTATATGACCAAGTTTGACAAAATATCCAATTAATTTTGCAATTTTCTTGTTTACTGGTTGCCCTTGTGGTTGTTGCTTGAATTGTTATATGCTTAAGATGATGAGTGTGACTAAAGCCAAATAGGCACAGTTGTCAAATCGAGATTCGTATCGTGAATCGAAATAACCTTGTACCGAATCGCGAATCGAATCGAAGTAAAGATTCGGTCACTTTTTTAAAATTACTTAAAAATATATATTTATACATTTAGATGATAAATATATCTTATGAATATGAAATATCTATGTTTAAATCAATGAAAATGTTATTTTGAGTGATAATCACGTAGTTTAATAGGTAAGAAGTTAACAAAATTCTTATGTAAGATCACTATCTTACTTTTTTTCTTTTTAGATATTTCTTATCAACCATTCTTAATAAAGATAATAACCAAATAGACAAATTATCAATTTCCAAAATAACAATAATTAACAACGATATTGATATTTGAACAATAAGCATACATACTTTTCTAAGTAACAGAACAATGAACAAATAATAAGAAAGAATTATTTAAAATATTTTATTTTAAAGGTTAAAACATTTTCAAAGGTATAACTGACCTCACATATGTAATATTTAATTATATTGAATTTAATAAAATAGCAATAGATAATTCATAGTGTAACTTTAATCTTAAACATTTTTAGAAGATATCTTATGATTTTTTAAAGGGGAAAAAAATGAGAAAAAATGTTAAAAATATGTTGGATCTGAATGAATCTGATTGGATTCTATTAAAAACTTCATGATCACTAAAATAATAACAAATTATGTATATATGTTGGTTATTTTGGTATTAAACGCTATTATAAGTTGTATTATGTCATTTTCACTAAAAATATGGAGAAAGAAATAGTTGAAAATATGTCGGACACAATAATTTAAAAAATTACGTGAATCGTAAAAAGTGAATTGAATCGTGAATCGATTGTGAATCGTGCGACTCACTAGAGATTTACTTCCAAAATAGATTCACCCATACATTCGTATCGATTTTGCAAAAAATTCGAATCGAATCGTGAATCTAATCGCGAATCGTAAGATTCTGATAACAGAGAGATTCACTTATAGATTCGTATCGATTTTACAAAAATTGCGAAACGAATCGTGAATCGAATCGCGAATCGTAAGATTCTGATAACAGAGCAAATAGGTAATAATTAGTTCACTTTTTTTTTTTTGGTTTTTGATATATGAAATTACAGATTGTGAGAATAGAGTATGTGCATTCTAAAGGATTTTTGCATCGAGACATCAAACCGGATAACTTCCTCATGGGTCTTGGCAGAAAAGCAAATCAGGTAATGGTCATTGCTGTATACTCTTCTTTGACATCTAGCATGCATGGATTGTCATAATATCTGTTTTCGCTGTGATTCCTTCATTTCAGATATATTATCGTCATAATCTCAATCTTGTCATGTTGATTAGGTATATATTATTGATTTTGGATTGGCAAAAAGATATCGTGACCCTACCACAAGCCGCCATATTCCTTACAGGTATATTTCTGATAACCAAGTTCATGCTTAAATTTCATGGTTCTTTGGTGTTCTATCCTTTTTGTTTTGGACATTGTATGTTGTTTATTTGTTTAGTTGTCTATGTTCCATGCAATGTATTTTTGTTTAAATACTTGGGTCAGAGGTTCCATAAATTGTTTATTCTTAATTTTTATGTTGGCTCACTTATTTCAAAGACATCCTTGTACCTGCTGCTTATGCATTGGGGACTGGTAACTCTTGCTTCGTTTGGGATAAATCTGCCTCCTTCCCCTGTTTTCTTTTATATATAATGGATGTTTTAAGAGTGAACATCTTTCTTAGTAGAGCAATCTGGAAAAAGATTAAGTATGGTAATTTCTCTACATTTTTGACTAGGAATGGTGACCATCACAAGAATCTATATATACATATATATACCCACCACAAACAGGTGGATATTTTGTTGTGCCAATATATCTGAAATGACAGATAGCTGACACATGAGCACTGTTTAACTCTCTATCCCTTTGTTCTTTCCTCCCATTATATGTGTAAGAGTTCCTGATGCATGCTTGGCTTATGTTCACAACTGAAAATATGGGCCCAATGTTCATTGCCTTTTGTATTAAACCTGAATTTGTTGCTTGCTTTTGAGAATCCTTGTCCACGTTGCTGTAGGATAATAATTTTTAAGTTCTGAAATTAAGAAAAATGACAAATTGCCTATTCAGGCTTTTATGTTGGTGACATTGACAATATGAATTGAACAACTGCTTTTTAGAGATTTTCTTCCTAGTAGTTGTTAGGACCTTTTCTATATTCCTGAATTTTTCTTTGCTTTTTCTTTGACACGGAGATGTAGTATCTGAATCTTATTACCCAAATAATATTGTCACTATCATCACTGTCAGTGTCAATGTTGTCTACAAGGATGCCCTTCAACTGGTCTATATAATGATCAGAAATGACACTGGCGTATTGAACTTCTCTTTTTCCTTGCTTGTATGTAAATGCCCAAGATATTTTGTTCTAAATACCCTCTTACCCTTCTATATTCATACAGAGAGAACAAAAATTTAACGGGGACTGCACGATATGCGAGTTGCAATACTCATTTAGGAATTGGTAAGTATAGAATTTCAATCAACTTGATTGTGTATATGGCTGAGCATTAAGTATTTTCTCATTTTTTGCTCCATGTCTTAGAACAAAGCCGTCGGGATGATTTGGAGTCTCTTGGCTATGTTCTTTTGTACTTTTTGAGCGGAAGGTATGTTTTTTTACTCACTTCTATTTCCTGCCAACTACATGAATTGTGTCCAGGCTTTTCATCACTTATCTGAAGTGTATACTCAAGTCAATGAAAACTCTAGTAAAGTACATTTTTTAGCATGGACTACGCGCTGGGTTTTCCCTGTAATTGTAGACCCAAAACATATTACTTAAAGGAGATGATAATGGCTGGATTATACAATTTCAAAATGTTTAATATATGACCTGACTGATTCATTGGTTACTGCCTTTAGCCTTCCATGGCAGGGTCTAAGAGCTGCAACAAAGAAGCAAAAATATGACAAAATATGTGAGAAGAAGTTATCAACTCCCATTGAGGTATGTGAGTGATGTGAGTGATGTGTTTTGTGCCCTTTGTGATTTGAATAGGGAAAATAAATTTTGGCCCTGGAAATATGATAAATTGGAAAATTTTCGTGGAATGTCTTTTTTCAACTCGGTTACTTCTCCAATGCTATTCTTGAGTATTATATAACAATTTAATGGCGTACATGAGGTCAAAAAAGTATGATAGAGCCTTGAAAATTCTATTAGACGAAGAAAAGCATTAAATATTATTTTGGAAATAAGAATGAGGAGCTTAATGATGAAGCCCTTTTGAAAGAAGCTTTTCATGAACAAATAGAACTTTTATACTAAAGGAACAAGCATAAAAAAATAATCACTTTATATTTTAAAAAATAAAAGAAGGGGACTAATCAAGCTTCTCTGCTTTAAATCATTCAAAATGTCTTTATCGACATAGAAATCCAAAAAAACCATGTAAATGAATTGCATTTACATCCAATGGAGTTGAGCCTATGCCAAATGATTAGAAGGCCTCTGTCCTATCCATTAGACCATGAACACCTTTCATTTGAACAAAAACACTCACATATTCCTTTCAGGGGTGGCTTTCTTATTTAATTTTGAGCCATTTGCAGAAGAGTTATATCTGACACAGCATTCGTTTTGAAAGGTTTTATGCAAGTCGCATCCAGTGGAATTTGCATCTTACTTCCATTATTGCCACTCTTTAACATTTGATCAACGACCGGATTATGGATTCTTAAAGCGCCTGTTTCGTGACTTGTTTACTCGTGAAGGTATCAACAAACTCAAATTCATCAGATAGTTAGATGCATATACATTTCATTACTTGCAGAGCTGCAACCCACGTAGTTCGATAGCTTAAATGTTAAATGTTTAGTGGATTTTTTTAATAGTTGGTCTACATAACATATGAATTTGTGATCAGTTCATTGGATATCAGGGCCTTATTTATTCCTTATAACAATAGTGACTAGTTATTGTTTAGTAGTTGTGGAGACAATATTGTGACAGCTGTTATGGTCAATTCTGAAACTGAATGTGTATGTAGTGATGGTTTACTTATAAAGATTAGTCGAGGTAAATATGAACCAAATTGTGTGCTCTACGCCCTTGATACTTAAGTTGTGATTGCTTCCATTGAAAGTGCGTACCTGTTTTTAGGTCAGTAACTCAGTTTTTCAAAGAATCCTGCTATAGTGTCAAAATTGTGAACAATTGTAATAATCAGTCAATGAAATGACTGAACCTTTAATATTCACAGCCTGACCAACACTGTATATTTTGTCTAGTTAGTCTTAATGTTTTGAGCCTTTGTAAAAACTTGTCAAATTATTGTATCTGGCGGAGGTTGCTCTGTTGGCTCAGCAACTCTCCACCTGGGTATGACATGAACACTCTGGCTTGGCATGTTTTCCTCACTAAAATCCCCCTTATGCTTCTTGGACATCAACTTACTTTTATTTTAAGTCATGGTACAAAAATAAGTAACATGGTGAGTTGGCTGGCTTCAGTGGACGAGCGTTGACTGGGCATAAATTAGTGTGAATGTGTCTTTGCTGTATGATTCACTTGTTCTACCTTGTCTGGCAGGCTTTGACTTTGATTATGTATTTGACTGGACCATTCTAAAGTACCAGAATACGCAGAGAACAAAAACTGAGCCTCAATCATCTGTTAGTATTTGAGTTTTATTTTGAACTATCATTAATTTAGTTTTTTTTTTTATTTTTTTATTTACAAATATATAAAAATAAATTTATGTCGTTTCATTCTGTTTCATTGTACTATCTCAGACTTTACAGCCCGTTTCAGGGGTAACCAATAACAGGGTAATGCCTATGGATTTGGATAAGCATCAAGGTAAGTTGGTTGTGCAGTTTCAGTGCCTTAGTAATTTTATCTACAAGTTCTATTAAGGAATTTGATGTCTAAGTCCTATGTTTCCTGGAAAATGAACAACTTAACAAGTGACTATGTCTTTGTCGAAGATTGTTGAAAACTCTGTGATTTATCTCGTTTGTGTTTTTGTGTTTGTAACATGTTTAGTGAATTAAAAATAAATAAATTTGAAAGGGCATTTAGGTGCCCCATTGATATGATATTGTTCTATTATTCTTTAGAGCATGCAAGTACAGAAGTTTAGTTTAGAATTGGAATCAACATTTTTAATCAGCAGAACAATAACAGTAGACAGAAATTATGTGATTTGTTGAAATTGCATTAACTTTCTGTTTGTGTTTTGTGTGTACTATGTAGTGTAGAAGTAAGAATTGAGAAATGGGTTTAGATGTCCCGTGAAAATGAAATTTACCTTCTGATTTTAAGTATGATAATCAATGCATAATTCTGCTTTGTAGATTGAAGTTCTCACTCTGTATATAAACCTAAATTGACCTTCTGGTAACTAGTTTTGAGCTAAACAAACAGCACAGATATACTGTTGTCAATACGTGGTGATGACAAGTGCATGGAATGCTTCAATTTACAGTAGCTCTGTCCCCTGCCTTCGTAAATTTTATTTTAATTTTTTTTCAAAATCTGGGCAAGATGTGTTTGAATTTCATGGCACATTGTTTTTCACATTATTTGATTAATCCATGAAAGCCTTGCCCCAAATCCCTTGTTAGATCATGAAGAAAGCTGAAGTATTTTTATTTCTTTTCAAATTGGAGTATTGTGACATTGTTTGATTGAGCAAACCAAATAGGATGTTCTGTGAATTGAACATTTGGGTTCATGCCTTGTCTTTCAGGAGGTAATGATGCTTCTCACTCAGCTGAAGCTACAGCCCGCAGAGGATCAAGTAGTTTTGCTCGCCCTGACCTTGATATGCATTCTAGATCAGGAATGGCACGCAATTTGAATGCTGATAATCCCATTGAGAAACAAGTAAGCCATACTATGTAGAGTACATTGTAGTTCTTTTACTTCTATTCCATTTTCTCTTTATACATTCAGGACTTCATACGCTCATAATTCTCCTGGAAAACACATCCACCCTTGTGGTACTTCTTATTAGTTCAGTTTACTACTGTATCACAAATGACATTCTCTCCCTGGTTGTTGCAGTTTCCCGTTTTATTTCAAGGTGACTTGCCACCATTCAATCCATGATTTTTTCAAATTTGGTTGATGCAGGCTGTAAGTGATGCGCGCATGCCATCTACTTCATTTTCTCTGGCTGGTGCCTTCAAAAGAAATCTTCCAAGACCAGAGGAGCCAACTGAATCTTCAAATGTTGGCCGTGTATTTGGGAATAGAGTTGGTGCTTCAAGCAGCTGGATGCCATCATTGACGCGCATTTCTTCAGCCAAGTAATTGGTATGATAACCTTCTCTCATACATACTTCTTGTTATGTCTTATATTGTGCCATACTGCATAATTGATGGATGATTACATTATATCGTGATTATTAATATAAAAGCTCCATAGGTTGTTGATCAACTACTAAAACCTGCTTTTTCTTTCTTATTTTTTCTTTTATCCACCTTTAGGTATGGATCTGAAGTACAGGATACACAGAATGCATTGCAGATTTACCAATGTCATGAAGTTAGGATTGGTGGAGTCCTTCAGGACCGGATTGCATTATGTATTTCTCTTAAGGTGACCACAAAATGCAAACAAACACATTCAATGGTGTGTTAGAACTTGACCTGTCAAAAGCTGGTTGGTTTTTGAGTACATAGATGGCAAAATTGACTAAAGCCAGTTGTGTGTTTTACTGTTTCATTGATGACTTGTAAAGTCTTTCTCCCATTCTTCTGTTAATTGATCATAAAAGTTGCCTTTGTGTTATTTGGTTGTTTTGACTATGTATTTCATTTAATTCAGGATTGAGTTACTTTCTATTTTATTGCTTTAATTCCTATGGATCAAAGCCCTGGATGTTCACCTGTGGATCAGTTTTAACCTTGGTACCCAAGTCCATCAGAGCGTGACCACACTAAATCTGGTATTGCAGGTATTTCAGATTACATCCTTTCCTGTGTTACTGCTCTGATGGGACTTGTCTGCTCATTGCCAAATTTTCTGTATTTCAGACTATTATACATGATGCAATGTAAATGTGGAAGGGCTCACTGGAAGTCTGATATCAGGCCAACTTGCTCGTTGCAAGAAATTCATCTCTTTATCAGTATACATGGGTCTGAAGCCTTTGTGTTTGGAGTTTCCCAGGTAATAATTTTGAATCCATTGTGTACAATGTACATGTTGTCATGCATACATACCATACTACTCGCATATTTCTGACAATGACATGGTATAACCGTTTCATTGAATTTTTTCTCGATACAGAGGTTCCAATTTTATAAGTTTTCTAAAGCTTTTTCTGCAGCTTTTTATTTGCTCATTTTGGAGGTGTCTTGTACACTGATTATTTATTTTATTTTGTATTTTTTATGTTTATGTTTGTATTTATTTATTCTTGGGGGGAGGGGGGTAATAGGTGGGGGGAGGGTGTAGGCGGCTTTTTAAACTGAACCACTATTTTGGTACTTTCCTAGATTCATACAGCATCACAAACTTTTGCAGCCTCAGATAATTCCACAGCATTTCTCATGTGGATTTTATATTTATAGTTTTTTTCTTGAGCTCTCTTTCATTTTCTCATTTAAATTGAAGTAAAATTTTACTTTTTAAGTTCTCTACTGACTTTCTTATTTCCAGGGTACAATTATTTGCTGCTGGTTCATTTTCTCTCATGTTTTCATGGCAGAGGGCTGTGGTTAATTCCAAAGTCTTGATATTCTAGGTTGACAGAAATTGAATACAGGAGATATTTCTGGAGAAACTGTCGTCACTTCAATTGCAGAGCGATTGGTGCTTTGTTGGTACCCAAATCTTCACTCCTTTTTTCTCACCTTTCTATGAATTGATAATTGTCTATCATCATGGAATGATTGGTCAATTATGATTTAATCACTCGTTGAAGATTAAAATGAGTTCTGTTTAGTTGGCTGACCTGTTCAGAAACAGTCTGCAAAGATGGTGTGCAAGGGGCTTGAAACAGATGGTAACAATGATGTTCTTTGTGGCCGTGGAGGAAGTTGCTCGACTTCAGAATTGAACAGGTAGTACGATCTATCTTTTTTGTTTTCCCCCTTTCTGTTCACCTCCGGAAGTGAGGAACAAATCCATAAATTTTGATGTTTCTAACCATGAATGTGGACTGGAAGAATTATGTGAACACAACCCTCAAACCATTCGTTGCTTAGTGCAAATAACTTCATCCATATTCCATATCGGGTTAATTATATTTTTGCTTGTCAAAGTAAGAGTCTTTTGTCATTTTGGTCCTCATTGTTTAAAATTTGTCGATTTGGTCCCCAATGTTTAAATTTTGTCAATCTGGCACCCAATGTATAGGAAATGTTAATTTAGTCCCCAATCAAACTCAGTTAAACATAATTTAAACATTGGGGGACTAAATTGAAACATTTTTTAAACATTGGAGACCGGATTCATGCAATTTAAACATTGGGGACCAAATTGAAACACTTTCATACATTGGGGATTAAATCGGGGCTTTTCCCAAACTAAGCCTCTTTTGCATCCTATTTCCCAAACTAGGCTTAGTTTGGACGGAATTCCCAAACTAAGCTAAAGCGCTATTACAAATCGCACTTTCACTGTTTGGAGTCCAAAATGTGATGAATAGTGAAAGTGCTATTAAAAATCGCGCTTTTAATTAATAAAACGCTGTTGAAAATCACGCTTTTAACATAATTTTTTTTTGAAGAAAATGCTATTCGAAATAGCGCTTTCGCTGTTCATTCGTATTCGGAAGAAAACGCTATTTGAAATAGCGCTTTCACTGTGCTTTCTTAGGAAAACGTTTAAAATATATTAAAATGTGACCAAAGTAAAATACAAATGCTTTGTAGTACAAATGGTAGTGTGCTTGTCTTGCACCACAGTGGCGTGGGTTTAATCCCACGGGAATTGCTACCTTTCAATTAAGTTTAATTTTTTTTTTTTTTTTCTTCCACTCACTCTACACTTTATATATTTATTATGTAATTTTTTATCAAAAAAAAGTAAAATGTTTGTTTGGTTAACTAAATTTTTTTTCTATAAAGTACAATTTTTTTCAAAATGTCAACCACTATGCCAAAATTGGGCTTTAGCGGCGGTTTTTTACCGCCGTTAAAGGATGTAAAACTGTCGTTAAAACCTTTAACGGCGGTATTAACGGCAGTTTCGTTACTGCCGTTTATACTCGTGTCGAAAAAGGTACAACCGTCGTAAAAGGGTAAATTACCGTTGTTAAAAGTCGACCAAAAACGGCAGTAATATAGAACCAAAAACGGCGGTTCTTTACCGCCGTAAATAGGTTCAAATTTTTTAAAAAATAATTCTCTCTTCTTGTACTCCCCATGTTTTGAACCTTTGACCTCTAATCTATACATACCAACCACTCCACCACAACCACTTTATGTGATATATATTCCTTAAATAAATATTTAAACATTACTTTTGCTTTATTGTAGATGGTTATGTTCAACCTCTGGCCGCGCGTAGTCACCACTCACCGGAGTTCCGCCGACAAAGACCGCTGTCATTAACGGCGGTAATGAGAGTGCTTTAGCGGCGGTTTCGTTACCGCCGTTAACAGAGGGCTTTAGTGGCAGTTTTTTAACGGTGGTTTCATTACCGCCGTTGAAGGTACTTTAGCGACAGTTTTTTTTACGGCGGTAATGAAACCGCCGTTAAAGATACATTAACGACAGTATTAACGGCGGTTTTCATTACCGCCGTTAATAGTATCATTAACGGCGGTAATGAAAATCGCCGTTAAAAAAACCGCCATTAATGCCCTGTTTTGGCGTAGTGTCTCTCCTCTCTTCTCTCTCTCTCTCTCTCTCTCTCTCTCTTAAAATTTTAAATATTTTTTTTTTACTTTTTTAGATGCACCTTAGTTAGATGTATCTAAAAAGTAAAAAAATTGTGAAAAAATATTTTAAAAAATTAATAAATACATAAAAATACAAAAATTGTACTGAAAAAATAATTTTGTATTTTTAGTATCTTTTTAGAAAATTATGCAAAGTGAAAGCGTACTCAAAAAATATTTTTTCAGCAAAATGTATGCTTTTAAAATGTACCAAAATATTTTAAAAGCGTACATTTTTTGAGTACATTTTGCTGAAAAAATTAATATTTTGTATTAATTTTTTCAGTATATTTTTTTGTATTTTTTCACTCACTCTATACTTTATATATTTATGAAAAAATAAAAAAATGAACTAAAATATTTTGAAAGCGTACATTTTGCTGAAAAAATATTTTTGGAATACACTTTCATTGCGCATATTTTTTTGAGTACATTTTGCTGAAAAAAATGAAAATTTGCTGAAAAGATACTAAAAATACAAAAATATTTTTTTAGTACATTGTTTATATTTTTATGTATTTATTAATTTTGTAAAATATGTTTTTACAATTTTTTTGCTTTTTAGATACATCTAACTAAGGTGCATCTGAAAAAGTAAAAAAAAAAATTTAAAATTTTAAAAATATTCACTAAAAACAAAAAATATATGAAAATAAAAAAACTCAGTTTTCAAATAATTAAATCCAAAAAATTCAAACCAAATACAATGAATACTTTTTAAATAATCATGTTGATATTTTGAAAAAAATTGTGTTTTATAGAAAAAAATTTTAGTTAACCAAACAAACATTTTGGGCTTGTTTGGTTTGATTTTGGGAGATGAGTTTGGGAGATAAAAAGTACGAAAAGTTGTTTGGTTTGGTTTTTTTGGAAAGATGTTTTGGAAAATTATTTTGAGAGAGAGTTTTGGAAAAAGTGATTGATTTGATGTGTATGAGAGAGAGATTTGTTTGGAAAACTTGTTTGGTTTACAAGTTTTGGGAAATTTTTTTGGGAAAATTTGTTTGGTTTGAGTTTTTCTGAAAACTCATTTGTAGAGAAATTTTTCCAAAAATTTTTGGGAAATTCAAACCAAACGAACCCTTTATTTTTTTTTGATAAAAAAATTACATAATAAATATATAAAGTGTAGAGTGAGTGAAAAAAAGAAAAAGAAAAAAAAGAGTTGAACTTAATTGGAAGGTAGCAATTCCCGCGGATTGAACCCACGCCACTGTGGTGCAAGACAAGCACACTACCATTTGTGCTACAAAGCATTTGTGTTTTATTTTGGTCACATTTTAATATATTTTAACCATACTACTCGCATATTTCTGACAATGACATGGTATAACCGTTTCATTGAATTTTTTCTCGATACAGAGGTTCCAATTTTATAAGTTTTCTAAAGCTTTTTCTGCAGCTTTTTATTTGCTCATTTTGGAGGTGTCTTGTACACTGATTATTTATTTTATTTTGTATTTTTTATGTTTATGTTTGTATTTATTTATTCTTGGGGGGAGGGGGGTAATAGGTGGGGGGAGGGTGTAGGCGGCTTTTTAAACTGAACCACTATTTTGGTACTTTCCTAGATTCATACAGCATCACAAACTTTTGCAGCCTCAGATAATTCCACAGCATTTCTCATGTGGATTTTATATTTATAGTTTTTTTCTTGAGCTCTCTTTCATTTTCTCATTTAAATTGAAGTAAAATTTCACTTATTAAGTTCTTTACTGACTTTCTTATTTCCAGGGTACAATTATTTGCTGCTGGTTCATTTTCTCTCATGTTTTCATGGCAGAGGGCTGTGGTTAATTCCAAAGTCTTGATATTCTAGGTTGACAGAAATTGAATACAGGAGATATTTCTGGAGAAACTGTCGTCACTTCAATTGCAGAGTGATTGGTGCTTTGTTGGTACCCAAATCTTCACTCCTTTTTTCTCAGCTTTCTATGAATTGATAATTGTCTATCATCATGGAATGATTGGTCAATTATGATTTAATCACTCATTGAAGATTAAAATGAGTTCTGTTTAGTTGGCTCACCTGTTCAGAAACAGTGTGCAAAGATGGTGTGCAAGGGGCTGGAAACAGATGATAACAATGATGTTCTTTGTGGCCGTGGAGGAAGTTGCTCGACTTCAGAATTGAACAGGTAGTACGAACTATCTTTTTTGTTTTCCCCCTTTCTGTTCACCTCCGGAAGTGAGGAACAAATCCATAAATTTTGATGTTTCTAACCATGAATGTGGACTGGAAGAATTATGTGAACACAACCCTCAAACCATTCGTTGCTTAGTGCAAATAACTTCATCCATATTCCATATCGGGTTAATTACATTTTTGCTTGTCAAAGTAAGAGTCTTTTGTCATTTTGGTCCTCATTGTTTAAAATTTGTCGATTTGGTCCCCAATGTTTAAATTTTGTCAATCTGGCACCCAATGTATAGGAAATGTTAATTTAGTCCCCAATCAAACTCAGTCAAACATAATTTAAACATCGAGGGACTAAATTGAAACATTTTTTAAACATAGGAGACCGGATTCATGCAATTTAAACATTGGGGACCAAATTGAAACATTTTCATACATTGGGGATTAAATCGGGGCTTTTTCCAAACTAAGCCTCTTTTGCATCCTATTTTCCAAACTAGGCCTAGTTTGGACGGAATTCCCAAACTAAGCTAAAGCGTTATTACAAATCGCACTTTCACTGTTTGGAGTCCAAAATGTGATGAATAGTGAAAGTGCTATTAAAAATCGCGCTTTTAATTAATAAAACGCTGTTGAAAATCACGCTTTTAACATAATTTTTTTTGAAGAAAATGCTATTCGAAATAGCGCTTTCACTGTGCATTCGTATTCGGAAGAAAATGCTATTTGAAATATCGCTTTCACTGTGCTTTCTTAGGAAAACGTTTAAAATATATTAAAATGTGACCATAGTAAAACACAAATGCTTTGTAGCACAAATGGTAGTGTGCTTGTCTTGCACCACAGTGGCGTGGGTTTAATCCCACGGGAATTGCTACCTTTCAATTAAGTTTAATTTTTTTTTTTTTTTTTCCTTCCACTCACTCTACACTTTATATATTTATTATGTAATTTTTTTATCAAAAAAAAGTAAAATGTTTGTTTGGTTAACTAAATTTTTTTTCTATATAGTACAATTTTTTTCAAAATGTCAACCACTATGCCAAAATTGGGCTTTAGCGGCGGCTTTTTACCGCCGTTAAAGGATGTAAAACTGTCGTTAAAGCTTTTAACGGCAGTATTAACGGCGGTTTCGTTACCGCCGTTTATACTCGTGTCGAAAAAGGTACAACCGTCGTAAAAGGGTAAATTACCGTTGTTAAAAGTCGACCAAAAACGGCAGTAATATAGGACCAAAAACGGCGGTTCTTTACCGTCGTAAATAGGTTCAAATTTTTTAAAAAATAATTCTCTCTTCTTGTACTCCCCATGTTTTGAACCCTTGACCTCTAATCCATACACACCAACCACTCCACCAAAGCCACTTTATGTGATATATATTTCCTAAATAAATATTTAAACATTACTTTTGCTTTATTGTAGATGGTTATGTTCAACCTCTGGCCGCGCGTGGTCACCACTCACCGGAGTTCCGCCGACAAAGACCGCTGTCATTAACGGCGGTAATGAGAGTGCTTTAGCGGCGGTTTCGTTACCGCCGTTAACAGAGGGCTTTAGTGGCAGTTTTTTAACGGTGGTTTCATTACCGCCGTTGAAGGTACTTTAGCGACAGTTTTTTTTACGGCGGTAATGAAACCGCCGTTAAAGATACATTAGCTGCGGTATTAACGGCGGTTTCGTTACCGCCGTTAATAGTATCATTAACGGCGGTAACGAAACCACCGTTAAAAAAATCGCCATTAATGCCCTGTTTTGGCGTAGTGAACATGATTATTTAAAAAGTATTCAGTGTATTTGGTTTAAATTTTTTGGATTTAGTTATTTGAAAACTGAGTTTTTTTATTTTCATATATTTTTTGTTTTTAGTGAATATTTTTAAAATTTTAAATTTTTTTTTTTACTTTTTCAGATGCACCTTAGTTAGATGTATCTAAAAAGTAAAAAAATTGTGAAAAAATATTTTAAAAAATTAATAAATACATAAAAATACAAAAATTGTACTGAAAAAATAATTTTGTATTTTTAGTATCTTTTTAGCAAATTATGCAAAGTGAAAGCGTACTCAAAAAATATTTTTTTAGCAAAATGTATGCTTTTAAAATGTACCAAAATATTTTAAAAGCGTACATTTTTTGAGTACATTTTGCTGAAAAAATTAATATTTTGTATTAATTTTTTCAGTATATTTTTTGTATTTTTTCACTTACTCTATACTTTATATATTTATGAAAAAATAAAAAAATGTACTAAAATATTTTAAGAGCGTACATTTTGCTGAAAAAATATTTTTGGAATACACTTTCACTGCGCATATTTTTTTGAGTACATTTTGCTGAAAAAAATGAAAATTTGTTGAAAAGATACTAAAAATACAAAAATATTTTTTTAGTACATTGTTTATATTTTTATGTATTTATTAATTTTGTAAAATATTTTTTTACATTTTTTTTACTTTTTAGATACATCTAACTAAGGTGCATCTGAAAAAGTAAAAAAAAAAATTTAAAAATTTAAAAATATTCACTAAAAACAAAAAAATACGAAAATAAAAAAACTCAGTTTTCAAATAATTAAATTCAAAAAATTCAAACCAAATACAATGAATACTTTTTAAATAATCATGTATATTTTGAAAAAAATTGTATTTTATAGAAAAAAATTTTAGTTAACCAAACAAATATTTTATTTTTTTTTGATAAAAAAAATTACATAATAAATATATGAAGTGTAGAGTGAGTGGAAGAAAAAAAAAAGAGTTGAACTTAATTGGAAGGTAGCAATTCCCGCAGATTGAACTCACGTCACTGTGGTGCAAGACAAGCACACTACCATTTGTGCTACAAAGCATTTGTGTTTTATTTTGGTTACATTTTAATATATTTTAAACGTTTTCCTAAGAAAGCACAGTGAAAGCGCTATTTCAAACAGCGTTTTCTTCCGAATACGAATGCACAGTGAAAGCGCTATTTCGAATAGCGTTTTCTTCAAAAAAAAAATTTATGTTAAAAGCGTGATTTTCAACAGCGCTTTATTAATTAAAAGCGCGGTTTTTAATAGCACTTTTACTATTCATCACATTTTGGGTTCCAAACAGTGAAAGCGCGATTTGTAATAGCGCTTTAGCTTAGTTTGGGAATTCCGTCCAAACTAAGCCTAGTTTGGGAAATAGGATGCAAAAGAGGCTTAGTTTAGGAAAAGTCCCGATTAAATCGGCACAATTCAAATATTGAGGATTAAAATAAAACAAGCTCATCCTTGGCAGACTAAAAATATAATGAACTCTTTCATAATATGGCAAAGGTACACTAAAAAATAAAATTCTGCAGCATCAACTCATATAGAGAATACAAGCCCTTGTATGTCACTGGCATCTTTGCAGTTGAACAATTTTTAAATTGTGTTTCGAGGCATCAGGGTTCAAACTAAGAAACATCTCGGCGCACAGAGGTATGCGGAGGTGAAATTACGTATATCTGATTACTAAAACTACATGAAAACTACACTGTATATATGCGTGGGTGCCCCTATCAAATGCTTATATTTATTCTAGTGTACACCCCATTTTGGTGTGAATACTATTTACGCCTTTTCTTTTTTCAAAAATCCCTTCACTTTCAATAATAAATTGTCTCATTTATCAAATTGTCCAAAATAAAACGGTTTTTTCTCATTCGTTAAAGTTCTAAAAAATTTAAATATATAATTGTAAACGCATTGCGTTTGTATCCATGCATATGCATAGATTTTTGGAAGTTATATAATGTAAATTTATGTACATTTACACAATGCTCTGTTGTTTTTAGTAATAATTAGGCATCGTTTGGGAACAGGCTAATTTAGTAACTTTTTGGTTATTTGGCTAAAAAGGTAGGTAAAAAAACTTGTATGTTTGGGATGACTTTTTGGCTAATTAAGAAAAGATGTGCAAAAAAGTAGAGAGAAAAGAGAATCTTTGATTTTTTTGTATGGGTTGTTGGCTTTTTGGCTAATTTAGTAACTTTTTGGCTAATTGGCTAAAATAACATCTTGCCAAACGAAGCCTTAATAGCTTAACAAAGAAAGACATATAAAGTGTCTGTTAAAAAAAAGAAGAAGAAGACATATAAAGTGGAATTCCATTTCTCTTCATTCATTGCATAGATGAACTGCAAATATTCATTCTATGACCAATCATTGTGAAGGAGCCACATTAACATATTTAAGCAAAATTTTAAAATTGAAATTGATAACACTATTATAAGCCATTGATTTTAAATTTTAATGTTGTATTATAACCTTGTGCAATGTAATAGAAAACACTATTGATTTAAATCTTTTAAAGTGATAGGGCTGAGTGAGCTTAATTCAAGCTCTTGCACAAGATTTAAAACTCCAATTTTTTATTTTTCTGAGAAACAAGATAGATAAGTAATGCACTCAAGAATTTCTTTAACTATTGGTCTCGTTTCATATTTTCAGAAACAAAGTAATGAAAAAAAAAAGAATTGAACAATATTTATTGTTTTATTTGTGTTAAAATATTTTTTGAAAATTTTAAAAATAATTACGAAAATAAGTATTTTTAGATTTTCCCTTTTTAGCAAGGAGGATGTTTGAAACCCTTACAAATTTTCTTCTAATTTGACCCAAAATAATATAGTATGTTATGTGCCTATTTTTAATTCGTTACATGTTCAATTGTACAAAACTAAACTCCTGTCTTACCATGGTAAATTTGGGAATTTAAATTGTGAGTCTTTAATATTTTTGTTTTAACAAATTGACATTTTAATTTATACTTCTCAAATCATGAATAAAAAATTTTCATATTTTATTTGAACAAAAAGACATGTAAATAGACAAAATTTCACTATTGATACAATGACTTTTATTTTTGTGCAGCCTCAAATCCTATGAAAGATTGTTTACTTCAACAAGATTGTGCTTGATGCTGTGTTTTATTGTAGATTTGGAAATAAAAAGGAAAAGAGGTGAAATATTTTGCACTATAATTGGTTTTTATTTTTAAAAATTTGTCCATAATGATAATATTTTTATTTTTATTTTTATTTTTCAAGCTAAATTTAGTATTTAAACAGAACATAACATGATTTCACACATTAAACATAAAGATAAAAACAATTAATATGAGGATAAAACTTTAGCATGACTTGGTTAAACTAAATTTAAATAATTTTTCAGATAGGCTGGTGTGACTTGAGCGAGTTGATTTTCTTAATTCTCTTTGTGACCAGATGTCTACTCCATTTCTCGTCAATTGCTTCCTTCAATAAGCGCGCCGTGTGCACTAAGAATAGAATTCCCATTAGACTACACCACACGATGACTGCAACTCCAATAGTATGACTGATTGGTTCTCTGTCAACTCTTGGTGTGATGACAACAATAGAAATTGCAAATGTTACTGCCATTGATGTAATGGTTAACCATATGATTGCAACTAGAATCCACATGAAAATCCTTTTCTTGAATGGCAATCCAGTTATAAGCAACAAGATTGTGCTTAGAGATGCAACAAATCCTATCGTGCTAGCACGAATGAAATATAGGTATAAATGTGGATAGTTATAATCCATTATAGCATCTCCAGCTCTATGTTTGTTTGAAGGTTTGTCTGAAGTGTCTTGCCAAAAGCCACCTGGAGGGTTCATCCCAGCTTGGAAAGCTATTGTTGCAATGAGCGTTGCAACCAACATTATTGTTTCCTTTTTCTTTGTCAGCCACTCAGACTGCCCGACATCCTTACCACGCATGGCTCCGGCTTCTTTGAGTTTTTTTTCAATATCATTTGAATTTTTCACATCTTTTCTAATTTGTGCTAGAATATCCAATGCTGTGTACTCCCTAGCATTTTTTATGTTTACGTCTAGTGTTGCGTTGGTAAGCAAGTAGTTTAAGGACTGCCAAAAACCAAAAAAAACAAACAAACTTGGAACTTTACTAACCAGCAAGTGAGGATATTACCACTAAATGGAAAAAGAAAGAAAAAACTTTAATACTTCCCATAATATATTAGTTAGTTGCAACTTCGGCTAAATCATTTTTTGTATTGTGTAAAAAAAAAAAGAAGAAAAAACATTTGATTATAGTCATACCTCGACTTGTTTATTCGCCACAGCTAGATGTAATATAGTGTTGCCTCCTCCATCTTTAGCATTGACAAACTCTTTATTTTTAGTGGTATTCATAAGTATTTTCAGAGATTCTAACTGGTCACGCAACATACATAAATGTAAGATGGTCTCACCCCTATCCATCACAGCTTCAGCTGCATAGGGGTTGGCTTGAACTAATACTTTCAACACATCGACCTTGCCCTTCATCACTGCAAGATGGAGTGGATTTTTACCATTTTTGTCACGAGTTAGGCACATGTCAAGATCTACAGATATCAAAGCTTGTACAACCTCGACATGCCCCTTTGCAGCAGCAAGGTGAAGGGGCAAGCCGTGTGAAGAGTCTAGAATTTCAGCAAGATCTGGATTTAGACGCAGAACTTCTTTGACGAAGTTTGTATGCCCGCGTAATGCAGCCACATGTAGAGGACTCCTACCAAACCAACCAGAGTTCACTCTATCAAGAACTAATGGATCTTCTCTGAGTATTTCTTGTAATAATGTGACATCGCCTTGTATTGCTGCTTCATGGAGCCTCAGTTCCATTCTCTCTGTAACTTTCTCCATGACAATGAGTATATAAATATATGAGCAATGAACACAGGTATTTATAGGCACCCAAACACTCAAATATACGAAAGCACCTACTATTTTCCATTATTATTATTATTATTATTATTATTTTTTATTTTGGGAAGTTGCATGACAAATGCTAAGAAACTTCACAGAACAACATATGTGAATAGAAGTGATGAACAGTCAAAGGTGTCGTCTGAGAAGTGGATTGGTTTTTTAGTTTTTTTGACTATTTTAGCTTGGGTTAAAAAGCTTGGTTTGAGAATGACTTTTTGGCTTTTAGATTTTTTTGACTTTTTTTGTGAGAGAATAGTGTAATGATTATGAATTGGATGTAATGTTTTGTTTGTTATGACTAAAATAACCTATTTTATCTTTTATGGCTAAAATAGTCCCAAACTTATCCAAGCCCACTTGCCAAACCATGCCAAAGGCATAGTTGCATGGCATCTCTCCTCGTCGCTTTAGTAGACTAGTCTGTGTTCATACCTGGTACTATAATAATTACAAATAATAATAATAATAATAATAATAATTAAATAAATAAAACAATAAAAACAAATATTCGCCAAAGCATGGGAAAGGGCAGACAAACATTTATTTTATTTATTAAAATGTATTTGGACCATAGATTTTAGTAGAGATTTGAAAAATAAGAGAGAAATGGAAAATGTGAGAGCAATTTGTTACTCACATTTTTCTTTTTTTTTTTTAGATCACTACTCAAATTTATAATTGAAACACAACTTAATTGTAAATTAATTGGTTATTTGCCAAAGTAAATATGAAAGAGTGGATCGGTTTATTTATTTATGAGCACAAAATCCCAAATACTACAATAGGATTTTTAATTGGGTTTGGATGTTCTCAAGTTATATTCAATTTGAGAGTGTTTGGGTTTGGTGGATTCATGTTGTGGCCTATCTCAGTGATTCTAATTATTCATTTTTTAAAATTCGTTGAATAAAAAATTCATGCAAAAGTTTAAGATGATTGGATATCGGTAAATATATTTTGGAATCACATTTGTTCCAAACAAATAGGTGACAAATATAATTTTAAGAATAATTATTCATTTTTTATAATACAAATGTGATTTAAACATATAGTTGTTAATTTTTTTATAATGATTCTACTCAACGAGTCTTTAAAAGTGAACAGTTTGAATTATCTAGATCGGTTGCAATTTACAAAATGGACTCACTAATCCTAAACGCTCTCCCAATTGACACTCTCAAATTGAAATGACAAATTTAAAAGAATTCAAATCATTTTTAATAATGGACAAAAATCATAAACGTTTAATAATGCGATATTATTATGATGATATACTTGGTAGACGTTTATTATTTATTTAAACTATTTGATAATTACAAAACCTCTCTAATGTTTTTTAAAATTACACTGATCCCTTTAGACTCTCTAATAATAATTATAGGAATCTCTCAAATAGTTTATGAAATAAGAAATTACACTGACTCTCTTTTTGACTCTATCCATATATATATTAAATGATGGCTGAAGTGGCATTATATTTTAATAATTTAAAATTTTATAATTTTTTAAATTTAGCTTCAGCGGCCACAGCCACCATAACCAGGTCGTCAATCACAGCTCAATATATATATATATACACACTAGGTAAAAAATGTTCATCTAAGGCACGGGTTATTATTATGATAAATTTAAATTTTAAAAGTATAAATCTTTTAACAAATTATTTTATTTAGTTTGATTTTTTAAAATATTTTTTAGATCTGTATATTATTGTGGTAAATTTAGATTTCAAAAATCTAAATCTTCTAACAAATTATTCTGTTTGATTTGATTTTTTCAAAATCTATTTTAGATGAATTTTCGTTTATTTTAATGAATTTGTTTTCATATTTTTTTCTCTTATTTTTTTTTATTTTTTTATTTTTTTTCCACCCTTTCTTTGTAAATTCATATGCATGTAACAAATCTTTTAATAAATGATCCATTTTGTTAATAAATAAATCATACTCGTATTAATAAACAAATCATTAAGTTCATTAACAAATTTTAATGATATAAAAACCATTTTGTTAATAAATAAAGCATTAAGTCAATTAAAAGGTTTTAATGATGTGAGAAATATTTTTAAATGAACAAATTTGATAATTTATTATTGTATAGGAGAGTAGTTATTTTTTTTCCTGATTATTGTGTTAAATTAAAATTATAACAAATGATAATTGTAATTTTTAATATTATAGAACCAATTCATATTTTAAACAAACCTTATGAGTGTGTTTGTAATTTGCTAAAAATAAAAGATTTATATTTCATAATTGACCAAAAATGTTTGCGTAATTACAAAAAAATCTTCACTCAAAATAGTACCACAAATATTGGTTAATATTACCAAAGAAAAGGATAAAATGAGAAAGTCAATATATAGGTCACCATTATTAAATTATACAAAATAAAGGGAAAAAATTATGAAAAAGAAAGACAAAACATAAGCAGGAAAGAGCATCTTATATATATAGATATACACTTTTGAGAATCATAGATATATGTACATTTATTTTTATAAGTTGGATTTTTTTTCAAGATTAAATCTAAATCTGAGAGAATTTGAGAGATTTGTGGGACTCAACAAGAGTCCATTTCAATTATTCGAATAATTCATTTTGTAGGATTTTTTGTATATATTATTTATAAAAAAATTAAGTTAATCTAATAATCACATTTTCATTTGATTGTATTTGTTTTTTTTTTATTTTTTTATTTTTAAAATGGATAATATATTTTGAAAAGGACGCTTGTTGTCTATTTTTTCAGAGATAAATACGATAAAAAAAAAGTTACAATTATCGAATCAATTTAACTTTTTTAATAGATGATACATACGAAGAACACTACTAAAAAAATAGTTCAGATTATCGAAACAAAACCCTCAATTTCACTAAGTTCAGATTTAAACTCTCTCCTCTCATGATAACAAATAATTTCTTTTAATTTTTTTTAAAATATTAAGAAACACAATAACATTCTTAATAAATTTGTTTTGTTTCTCTGGTTTGGGCGTGACACTGTTATCTTCAAGTGAATTAGTTTGTCAATGCCTTTTGCGTCGACTTTTTTTTAGCATTTATACTGATTTGTTTAAAAAGATTAATTTTTTTTTACACTTTTAGATTTTACTCAATTACACTAGTTAGAATTTTTCTTTTTTTTTTTAAAAGATTGAAGAATGTTCATTAAAAACAAAAAGTAAAAAATAGTTGATTTTTTGTTTTTAATGAGTTTTTTTGAATTCTTGTAAAACAAAAATTAACTACTTTTGAGATTCTTCTATATTAGAGGAACCTCAAAAAATAAAAAATAATTTTTTTTATAAAATAAAAAATAATTTTTTTTATAAAACAATTAAAAACAAAAAAAATTGAGGAAATAAAAAACCAGCTGTCTTTTTAAATTTTTTTTAAAAGTTTATGATAAATTTTATAAACTTTAATGATTAAAATTATAACATTTTTCATAAATTTGTAATTATTTTCAGACAGTACACCACTATCATGTAATTTTTTCAAAAAATTTCTGAAAAAAATAAGATTTTTTTAGCGGATCCCAATGCTTGTTCGATTGATGTAAATGCTAGTTTTCTAGGGAGGTGGCAGCCGGGAAGGGGTGGTCCCTCGAGGGAATGGCACTGGCCATGGTGTTTTGGTTTCATGGAAATTGCTTAGCAATTTTTTGGAAGTGAACCAAGTGACAAGTTCAATTTGTGTTTAATTTGTTTGAGATTAACTCATTATATAAATTAGTGGGTCCCGATCAGTGTGTTATTAAATTTATAAAATATAAATTTTAATTTTAAATTAAAACATGTATTGTCTGTTGCTCATTGAGTGAAAGTGTTACTTACTAGACCAATAATCTTAGGTTCATGTCTCTTTCACTACCTCAATATTTAATTTTTTATATTCTTTTAGAAAAATAGGAGGCGCCTGACATAAGGGATTTTTCATGAAGGAAAATGCTATAGGTCCCAAATTTTCTACCAAATAAATGACCAAATGTCTTACATGGGTGTGGGGTCTACAAAATTATGGACCCCACACCCATGTAAGATATTTGATTATTTATTTGGTAGAAAATTTGATAACTCTAACCTTACTCTTTGGTGAAAAGCCCCTTTTATTAGCTCTTTTTTTGTGTGAAACCCACGGAATAAAATAATAGTCTCAAAATTCTCTCAAATTAAAAAAAAGATAATCAAAAGACTGAATTACGTTTCCATATAAATGGGCAAATATAAAACAATTGAACCGTTTCTCTCCCTTTACTCTGTTTCATCATTTGAAACACAAAAGCACACAATATTAGAGTAAAATTTTACTATCATTCTATCAAACGAAAATAGAACATATAAAATCAGGGTAAAACTTTATTCTCATTTTATTAAAAAAAAAACAAAATACATAATATCATAGTAAAATTTTACTCTCATTCTATCAAATTTTACTCTCATTTTATCAAACAAAAATAGAACACATAACACCAGAGTAAAATTTTACTCTAGTATTATCAACAAAAATCGAACACATAATAGCAGAGTAAAATTTCATCCTCATTCTAGAAATAAAAAACAGAGCACACAGTACTAGAGTAAAAATTTTTTCTCATTCTATTAAACAAAATCAGATCATTCATAATAAAAATAAATCAAAACATTTGATCTCTAAAACCCTTATATGTTGTAGTGGGCTACCGAAAGCTAAAATAATAAAAAAAAAGAAAGTAAATTACAAATATACGTTTTGAATTTATTTAAAATATGAATTACTACTTGTAGTTTTGTAAATTACAACTATCTCTTTGTCAAATTTTTTTTCAAAGAATGCAAGACACCCCCAATTTTTTTTTATCTTACTCACATGAGTTTGGGTCCCACTTGAGTGTAAGTCTTATACAAATTTTGGTAAATTTTTTTTTTTTTTTTTTTTTTTTGTATCTTTTGCATTCTTCAAAGTTTTTATCGAACAAAATTAACAAAAAAAAAAAATAAAAATTCATAACTACTATCA